AGCATGCTAAATTAATAAGATGAGAAAACATGTAAATACTATTTCAACCCTATTTTTCCATAGGTTTAGATTTATATATCTCTATTATTTATGAAATTAAGTTTAAAAAAGTTAAAATATTTCAGAGAAACTTTTTTAATATAAGAACTAAAATTCTCTTAATATTTTCTTAATATATTAGGAATAATATAAATCTAATCTAAAATATTTTTACTGAGTGATGACAAAAAATATACAATAATAAATAAGTATCATGTATAAGCAATTGTGATAATATTGTATTTGTGGGTTTAAATATAATATTAATAGATAGGAACTCATTGAAAAAGACAATTTGATTTTTAAATATGAAAACTAAGGAATATTATTTTGGATAGGATAAATAATTAAATGGTTTATAAGTTCTTTTCTGTCACAATTAGAATCCCCATTATTTCCACAGTAATTAATCAATTCCCTCATTGATCTATATATATTTATTTATTAAACAAATAACCAATAATATTCATCAAACAATATAAATAATGATTCAAATATCTTTTTTTTGCATTTTCCTGATAAGACAATTATACCGATTAGTAAAGTAGGATAATAAAATAACTGATTTTATCTAAGCTACATTAAATAACTTGTAATTTCTGATGAGAATTTTGATAAAAGCATAGAATATTATTTAAACATTTTCTAAAAGAATAATCATCATAAATAATGCTTTAAGACTTTTGTGATAGCAAATGCTTATTACTATAAAAAGAAACAAGTAAGAAGAAAAAAAGTACTAAAAAATATTTACACCTTTCAATCTTGTTCAAGCTTTACTTTAGTAAACAAACTTATTTTAATCACAATAGGTAAATACTTTGATATTTTACTTTCGTTTGGATAAAAACGCATGAAAATAGTTGATAATTAGTAAAATACTTCAAATGACTTTAAGTGATAATTGATATGAACTACAAGAATTTGGCCTTAATGCTTAAGTATAAATTAGCTTTTAAACGTGGACAAAATATAAAATTAAGTATTCCGTCAACTTGATATTAATACCAGCTGGTTTAAAAATGCCAATATATAATAATGATTTAGTTAAATTTCTTTAATTTATCTTCTTAAAGGGTTTCTTCTACAAGAACCTATATGGATTTCTTTTCTTTGAGGGCTTCTGTTCCATTTTCATTAAAACATCATCATTATTTTTCAAGTGGCAATTTAATTTAATAGCACTGTAAATTGTTTAATTTTATATTTATTATTGATACTTACATCATAATAATAGATCTCATCCCCAAAGTTATTTAATAATTTAATTAATCTATGATATTAGTTTAAAAATCTTAGATATAAAATAAATGATTAACTATATAAAGTAAAGGGCACTTCACAAATAATATTAGCTTGTCATTAAATTTACATCTTTATCTATATTGCCAAACCAAATTTCTCATTGTAAATTAATTTAGTTTTTTTGTTTTCTCATTTTTTATTAACTGAACCTACAGATTTATTGAATATATTATTTTTAATCTATTAATTTTTTAATGAATTTCATCTAATATTTCATAACCTACTTAGACATTTATATTTGATATTTCTAATATTATTCTTTAATAATTATATTAGATATGCACAAGAAAAATCACAATTTACTAATTTTGACTTATTTCACCTTTTTGACTTAATATAAATAATAAAGTTAAAACTATAATATCTATTTTTATCATATTTTTAATGTATACTTAACTAATAACTACTATTATTAGATTTTACAGAGATCTTCTAAGTATCATTATACTTTTAGTAATTCATGTAAAATTTTTTTCACCTCAGATTTTCTTCAACAACATAAGAATAAATGAATAATTAATAATTTTAATAATAATTCATTCTTGGTCATAAATAATGATATTTCCTAATTTAAATTTCCCTAGATTTTTCATCCCAAGTCATCAAATACTCTCCATCTTCACTCATCTATCCAAATATACTACGATCACCAAATTGAATAGATTATTATGTTATAAAATCACCATTTTGGTTCTTCCTTATCAAATTAACATTTAATCCATTCTTATTCACAAGCAGACATTTTGATTTGATATATTATTAAGGGAACCAGTAATTACAATTATTAATTCCACATTTAACATCAATTTATTTTGTCTTTGAGTACTATTTATTAGTACTATTCATCTCATAAACATGCATTTACTCTTAAAGATGAGGTTGGAATGTGAATACATTATCATCGATAAAGCATAATCTTAAACCCCACTCTTCCACTGTTATCTTTTATATTACATTCCATTTTTAATCCTATGATGACTGTTCTATTATTAATATTAACTTATCTCTTCCACAAGATATCACTCTATTCTATTTCTCATTCAAACTTAATCCATATACTTCACCTGTATGATCATTAATAGTTTATGAACATATCCATTCATTCTGCTTTTTCCAAAATTTAATT